CCTGTGATGAACCAGGAGTCCTGTGCTAGGAAAGCACAGCTTTCGAAAGAAGAAAGAAAAGAGAAAAGAAGTAAAAGAGAGAAAAAAGTAAAACCTTGAAACTGATAGGAGATTCCACTAACTGCATTAAACTTGGGTCATGCACTGATACCTTCCTTCTGCCTGCTAAGCTAGTTAGATTTGCCCACAATTTTCCTCCAGCCATCCTACTATAAATGCAATAAAAATAAAAAGGACTTGAATGACTTTTTGTCTCTGTGGGACCACGTGATTATCTGCAGCTCTGAAAGCAATGGTTTATTGTCCCCTGGATAGACTCTCCAGAAATGAGAACAGACGGCCCACCTGCAGTTCCTCCATCGCTATCACGAAGTAATACCCTTTCCAAAGCATGATGCTGTTTTTCTCTTGAGCATTAAGTTGAATAACCACTAAATTTTGTGAGGTTGCTTGGTTGCTGTTTTGCAAGATGGAAAAATAGCCAGGAGAGGGACAGGATCGTGAGCTGCATGCAGACACTACGGTTTTCAATTTGAAGTCATATTAGTGAAGACATCAACTGATCTCGTTATTAATCTTTCATTGTTGAAGCTTAATGGGTTTTTAATTTGGATGAGAAACGTAGCGGTTCTTTCATAATAGGATACTTCGGGGTCTTAAAATGAGATTTCTAAGTGTATGACAATTCTTTAATTATTTTTTTTTCCAGCTGACTTCGGTGTAGCCGCAAAAATAACAGCCACCATTGCGAAGAGGAAATCATTTATTGGTACACCGTACTGGTAATAAGCCACTTCTGATCACTTTTGATATGATCATATGCAAAGCCGTGTTTATGTCAAGAATTCTAAAATACGCACACATGTTTTAAAATACGCATAGCAATTGCATAAATTCCCTTTTTTCCAAGTAAAATGCCCAAAGGGTCGAAGTCTGGTAAGCACTGATTGTAGCTGATCCGTTGCTGTCACACAAGGCACCCGGTATTTGAGACAGGATTGCTGTTTCTCACCAGCTTGTTAATGCAGGACATTCTCCGCTTTTTCTGGATCCCTCATGGTCATTTAGTTCCTCAGTCACTTCTTACACTTTTAGTGACTAAACTAGACAATGTCCTTGTGATTTCTGTGCAAAAGGAATTGTGAAGAAAACCAGGTTTTAAAGGATCTTTTAATCATCTCTACTGATTAATGTCTGTACGAGACAATGTTTAATGTGCAAATACGTAACTGTAAATCTTCAGCTTGGATTATATGTGCAATTTAATTACCGTTGCTTTCTGACATTACTGTGAGGCAGTCGAGGTGCCTTGAGCAGAATTCTCAATATAGACTGAACACGTACGTACAGCTTAATCTGGGCAACGGCTTTTTAATTGTTCGTTGCCCTCTTTATCCTGTTGGAGAAGGAGCACTGAGGGCAAGAAGATTATCTCGTCCTTAAAGCATTTCACCAGGAATCATGAGACTAGTTTTATTTCTAGTATCGCTGTCCAGTCATGATCTTGGGCAAAACACAGCGCCTCTGTGCACTTCTCTGCTCCCCAAATGCCCCGTGAGGGGAGGGGGACGTCGGGCTTTTCCCTGACTTACAGTTTTTTGGAAGCTTTCTGCTCCAGGGTTACGTGATTGCCTTCGTGCCTCCCACGTACGGGCACTGACTCAGAAGTGACTGGTGAATTCTCGCTGAATGATGCCTTTGCTTTTCAAGGATGGCCCCAGAAGTTGCAGCGGTGGAGAAGAACGGGGGATATAACCAGCTCTGCGATATCTGGGCGGTCGGGATCACGGCGATTGAACTCGCGGAGCTTCAGCCGCCCATGTTTGATCTTCACCCGATGAGGTCTGCTTCCTGCGGGGCTTCTGCTCGTCTCCAGAGCCCCCTCCGGTCCCAGTTTAACCTTCTCCGTGGCTCTGGCGTAGAAACCCACACCATCTACTTTCTGCATGAGCTGTGTGCATTTTTAAGGCGTCAATCTTAAAACTTAAATTTAGAATTTTTAAATTTAAAAACCAAAACCCCTGCTTTGCAGCGTCATCAACAATCTGATTAAGAACAGGTACAGATTTACGATGTAGTGATCGTAAATTACTGGAGAAGCTGTAGCCTTGTGTTTAGCAGGTTTATGCAAGGTGATAAAAAGATTTTATTTAAAGATAAGAAAATAACAGCTTTACTGTCTCTGTCCTCTAACACAGTATAGTCCCTATTCCAGTTTCACCAGTATGATTTTTACCATATAGTATTAATTTCAAGTGGTTCGATATTTGAATGAAATTAACTATGTTTTTACCATGCAATAACATTATTCTTTTACTTTTAGGGCTTTGTTTTTAATGTCAAAAAGTAATTTTCAACCACCAAAGCTAAAGGAAAAAGCAAAGTGGTAGGTTAAACTCTTTCCTTCAGCCAATGTTATGTAGATAATGCAGAAAAAACACCCTATTTTTGTTACTGAAGAAGGGATGCAGTGAAAAATAGTGTGTGCTGGTTTTAAACTAGGGAACCCGAGAGGAAGTTTCACAGAGAAACGAGCAGAATTTTTTGCTCATGGTGCTGCTGTACGATCTTTTTAAATTGAGGTGTTTGGGTGGGCAGATGTGTGCTAGAGGAGGGGAGAAAACACCTCTAAGTGCATATTTCTTGTGTCAAAATTGCACTTCTACAGTGCTGCCTTCTCAGATGCAAAGACTAGAAAAGTGGGGTTTAATCTAAAAGCAAGTGGACTTGGGCTGATGTCCCCAGGGAGTCACGTTGACACAAATGCAATTGGGAGAAAAATGCTCGAAAAAATGCAGGTCCAGTAATAACGTCAAGTCGTAATTCAGATCTAAAAAAAGGTGATAGGACACAGTCACCTAAGTTGTTCTGAAAATAGCAATAAATCATTTTAAAGAGTAACTTGAGCGTCTAAAACTTTGTATTTTATTTTCCTACCTGTAGCCAATAACAGTGAAATTGGTAGGTTTGCCTAGATTTTGAGGATTTGCCAAGTACATAACTCACAATTTGTATTTCTGACGTGTAATTCCGTAACAACTGAGACTGGACAAAGCTGAAAGAGCACTACGTGTGTTTGGTTTATTTTTTGTACCAAAATGTTTTCCATGCAGCTTCCCTGAATCAAATGATTTTTTTTTTCCCCTATTTGCTTAACTTGGAGATGTAATTATTCAAACCTGAGATGAGGTACCTGGACAACCTTCTAATTTAGCACACTCTTGTAATCTGTTGAGTAACTATTAAAATAATGAAGAAAAATCATATTGAAAAATTAACATAAAGCTTCATTTTTCTTTCAGGTCATCAACATTCCATAATTTTGTCAAAATAGCACTTACAAAAAATCCAAAGAAGAGACCAACAGCAGATAGGCTCCTTTCTGTAAGTGTCTTCCTGTAATGTTGGACCTTTTTGTGACGTCGGTAAGAAATCTTTTGCTTCAAAGTGAGCGATGGACCAATGGGAAACCAAACTGGAACAGTTTTCTTTCTCTGATCTTACAACATGAATGGTAGAATCTGAAGGGAAGAGACATGGGTTGGCTGTAGGAAGTAGCAAGATTTTTGTACAGTTTTTGGAAATTAAACTCTGAGTCAGGTGAATTTAAAAGTGGTTATAGAAATATTCAAGGCCCAAGAAAGCAGCAAAATTCAGTAGTATTCCTTGTTGGATGTTTATTAATGAAAGTTACCTATTGGTTGCATATTATAACCTGGCTTTTTTTCTGTGGTTCTAGCATAGCTTTGTAGGGCAGCCTGGTCTTTCAAGATCTTTAGCCGTTGAGCTGTTGGACAAAGTTAATAATCCTGACAACCACACACACTACAGCGTAGTTGACGATGATGATTTTGAGGTGAGAGCATTTTTTATTTTTCTGTCTTGAGGCAAAACCACAGTTTAGATACCCAGCTTTGCTTTGGGAATGTTAGACTGCAGCTTGACAGAGATCCCACAGAAAGCCACGTGACTCTCCTCAGCTTTTCTGTTTTTATAACCCTTGCAGCCTCACTCCGTCATCCGCCACACAATTCGTTCTACGAACAGGAATGTCAGGGCAGAGAGAACAGCGTCGGAGATAAACTGTGAGTTCTTGGTGGGCTTTGCCTGTTTGGTGGCGTTGGGTTGCTTCTACTGATGGAGGTTGTAGGTGTTGTTCTTTTTGTCGTGCGCTCTAGAAAGTCTCTTCTGCTGTTGGCACTTTTGAGAAACAAAGCCAGAAGAAACAGCACATACGCATAGAATGGTTCAGGTTGGAAGGGACCTTGAAGATCATCTCATTCCAACCCCATGCCCTGGGCAGGGACACCTCTCTCCCACCAGCCCAAGTTGCTCCAAGCCCTGTCCACTCTGGCCATGGACACTGCCAGGGATGGGGCACCCACAGCCCCCTTGGGCACCCTGTGCCAGAGCTTCACCACTCTCATGGTGAAAAATTTCTTCCTTCTATCTAATCTAAATCTCCCCTCTTGCAGTTTCAGGCCATTGCCCCTTGTCCCATCACTACAGGCCCTTGTAAAAAGCCCTTCTCCAGCTTTCCTGTAGCCCCTTCCATGGACTGGAATGCTGCTATTAGGTCACCCCGGAGCCTTCTCTTCTCTAAGCTGAATAACCCCAGCTCCCTCAGCCTGTCCTCAGAGCAGAGGTGCTCCAGCCCTCTGATCATCTTCGTGGCCTCCTCTGGACCAGCTCCAGCAGATCCGTGTCCTTCTTGTACTGAGGGCTCCAGACCTGGCCGCAGAACTCCAGGTGGGGCCTCACCAGAGCAGAGCAGAGGGGGAGAATTACCTCCCTTGCCCTGCTGGTTACACTCTTTTTGCTGTAGCCCAGGACACGGGTCACTTTTTGGGCTGCAAGTGCCCACTGCCAGCTCACATTGAGCCTCTTGTCAACTAACACACCCAAGTCCTTCTCCTCAGGGCTGCTCCCCATCTGCTCTCCACCCAGCCCGTATCTGTGCTTGGGATTGCCTTGACCCAGGAGCAGGACCTTACACGTGGCCTTGTTAAACTCCATGATGTTGGCCTGGGCCCACCTCTCCAGCCTGTCCAGGCCCCTCTCGATGGCATCCCTGCCCTCCAGCATGTCGACCACTTCACAGAGTTTGGTGTCATCAGCAAACTTGCTGAGGGTGCACTCGATGCCACCGTCCATGTCACCAACGTGAATCTTCAATAATAATTTTTCCAAACCCAGAATTAAAATCTGGATATTTTCCTGCTCTTCCATTCCATCTTGTTGCCACATCGTAATCTCCATGTGGAACCCACGTGTGGCCGGCTTAGCCTTTCAGCTCTGTGGTTGCTGTCACACTTCACAGTCTTAATTAAAGCAGCAAACCCACTGATAACGTGCAATCACCATCAAAAAAAAAGAGAGTGGGTTGGTAATTAGGAAGGCATCTTTTCACATGAGCGCTTTTGGTGTCACGGCATGATGAGAAAATAGACAAAAAAATGCAGCGTTTTGTGTTTGTCTGCACATTGCTTCAAGGTCCTAAATGAAACCTTCTCTTCACCCTGACAGAGCGCTTGTGATCGCAGTAGCTGTCCTGACGGGGCTGCACGCTGACATAATGCATTTTCTTTTAATGCAACCTTTCCTTTTTCTTTTCTTTTTTTTTTTTCTTTTTCCTTTTTTTTTTGGGTGATGCGGTTTAGGGGTGAAATTGTAGTGTAAGGTTAATGGTTGGACTCGATGATCCCAAGGGTCTTTTCCAACCTAAATTGTTCTATGATTCTATGATTCTTTTCCAATGATATTAAGTCACTACTCAGTTACAGCGAAATTTAAATTTGAGGGTAGAAACGGTCTTTTCTCTGGGTTTGGACAAATGTCTTTTGTGGTGTAAATGCTCCTGTGCATCACGTACATCACACTTTTAGGAAGCTTGCTGTTAAATTTCTTCTCTTCCACATGCATTAAAAGTAACACGTGGTTACGTAGTTATGTTTTAGTGTACTTTCAGATAATGAGTTGATGTAAACTTTTGGGTTATCTCTTTCTTGTGGGTTTCATACTTGCAAATTTAAGCGTTTAGTCGAAAGGTTTAGGTATTGAGCAGGCAGATTAAGTGTTGTGTACATAATATTTAGATCTGTTGCAACCATTTCAGTTTAACGAGAAATGAAAGGGCACTTGTCTAACGCTGTGTGTATTAAATGCGAAAATGTAATGTTTTTTAGTTGATAAGCTGCAGTTCGAGCCCCCTCTGCGAAAAGAAACAGAAGCTCGGGATGAAATGGTAAGAACAAATTTGTTTTTTCCTTCATTGATTAAAATCATAGTGTCATCATTGTTTTGTCTCTGAAGTACAAAGGCATGAGAAGACCACTCTTGGTCTTCAGACATTTGCCCATTTTTAAGAAAATTATTTGCCCTCTGCATTTTGTGCGAAGAATCATGCTCAGATGAAAAAAAACCCTAATGATATGTGCCAATTAATCTGATAATGTGAAGAGGCCATTCTGCATTCGAGTCCCTGATCTTCCCCGTGGTCAGGGTTGATTTGCTGCTTGTTTCTTGAAAGGCTGCCAGCTCGCCTGCAGCCGGTTTTGCCCCCTGCGAGCTGCCGCTGTTTATTCCAGCCCTCGGCAGTTTGCGGCACATCAGCTCGTTAGTGTTCTTTGAGCTTAGCGTGTGCCCCTGTACACAAGGGCTCTGGTTTTGAGTAAGTGACAGGAACAGCAGCAGCTGCCTTTCGTTTGGATTTGGAGACAGCAGTGCTCGGCACTCCAGAAAAATCCCGTTCCTGTCCTTTTACAGCTGTGCTCCCAATTCACCAGGTAGGTACGAGTCGTTTTTAGTTTTCGTTTGGGTTTTTTCTGAGTGTGACCAATGATATCTGTACATGTTGGTACTGGCAGGGTCCCCTTGGGGCCACGTCTGGTGACAGGGCTGCTCCCAGCCTCTGCCGAGTTCAGAGGGCGCTGCAGTAGGTTCTCTTGCTGGAAGAGTGTCTTGGAAGTGCCCTGAGTGTGAAATCCTTACTGAGATTTTGCCATAATTTTTTGCTTTCCTGTTAATTGTTGCTGCTTGGTACTGGCGTTAAACTGTTCCCAGGTGCTGCTTTTAAGTTTGAGTCTAAGAAGATGATAGCTTTTCCATAGTTGCTTTATAATTAGGTTGTAAGACAACCTTTCACTTTGGAATTTTATTTTCCTGCTTATGGGTCGTTCTCCAGGGCTTGGGAGTCACCCAGGCCTCTTCACATGCTGTGGCTAAGGTACTTCAGTTTGACAGGGCGGAAAACAAATGAAAATTTCTGCATCTTCAGGTCGTGGCAGCTGGCACCGACTTTGCTTCGCATTGGAATCCTTTCGTTGATGGTGGAAGCAGCAAGTAAGTACTGAGTTTAAAAACATCTTTAAGTTGGATGACTTAACATGAGAACACGCTCCGAGAGAAAAATTAATTTATGGTGGAAAAATCAAACCACGAGCCTTAATCCACTTTAACATTCGTACGGTTAAAGGAGATTTTGCTCAGCGTGCAGCCCTCCTTCTGCAGTTGGCTGGTCAGTCACTTGGAGAGTGGGTTTTAATCCTTTTTAACCACAAACAGTAGTTTGTTTTAAATTTCTTACAGCTCCCCAGCTGTAGATGGAAAGCAAAGTGTAAATGTGCAGCCAGCACGCTGAAATAACACAGCCAACATCAGTTTTCTGAAGCCAAGCTGGTAACCTCGCAAAGGCTGAGTTCAGGCTCCTGCACTGGCCGTGTGTGTCTCTTCTGAGCCACGGCTGTGGTTGTGACATCCTGTGGCGACACGTGTCTGTAGCCCTGAAGCTGCAGCCTTGCAAGAAAGGGAAGGAGAAACCCAATCCTTAAGAGGTAGTTTTTTCATCAGTTCATTACGACGGCGTGACTGCTTCTGCCGTGTCTGGTCAGTGCGATCGATAACGCAGTGTTGTGGGGTGAAATGTTTCAGGTAAGGATAGGCTGGAACTGATTTCCTCAGGGATAAAGCAGGAGAATGACACTGCCCAAGTTAGGACTGAATTTAAGTATTATTTGCAGCTTCTTTTTCCTGCAAAATACTGGATTCTGCCTTTCAAGGCAATCTTTGAATTTGTGGTGAAGAATACGGAAGTTCAGTGATACTGACTGGTGCAGATATGTCGGCAAGGATGATATTTTGGTTGAAGTTACTTGTCAGCTACAAGAGCCAGTTTCCCATCTTTATTTAGAACTGAGTAGCAGACAGTGAATTTCTTCAGCTTTTTTCTAGATAAAGTATTGCGTAAACTGTCAGCCCACATTACAGTCCCCCGGCAAGCAGGCTGTGTCATGGAGAGATTGCCCGTGGTCGGATCTTTTTAAGTTCAGCCTGTTTCTCTGGTGTCACTCTCACCGGAGGAAAAGTTTGGGGTGCTCTCGAGGCCCTGCCTGTCCCTGTCCAGTGATGACAGTGACCGCTTTCCTTCCTCTCCCGGTTTGTTTGTGTGACCCCGACGAGCCGCAGATTGAAAACCTTGCTCGCGAGCGCTGGCTTTTCTGCCAGCAGCTGGAATCCGCGGGGCTGAGGAGCAGGGAGGGAGGGAGGGGAGCTCCTCCTGGCAAAATGACTTAGTGATTTCATTCCGTTTCTGTAGCTGGTAGTAAAAGCAGAACGAATGTGGATGTAGCAAACGTTGCTGAGGCTGTAAATGGGTAAATCGATGCAGGTTTAGTAATTAAAAGGAGAAGAGGCATAAAGTTGCTGGGTGGTATATCCATGCTGCTTACTTGGAAACCACTTCCAGTTTGAAAAAATAAACAGGAAACGCATAGCTCCTCCATCCCAGCGATTCCGAGTAATTCCAGAGATGTGTGCCAGGGGTGGTCCTTGCTTTTCGTGCCCTTTGACTTTTGTCAGAGTGGATGGTGACTGATACTTCAACTTGAGAAATACCTGGCTGGGAAGGGGAATAACAGAATGTGTACCTCATGATTGAACTTATATTTTTTCTCTAATGCTTGCTGTACCATTTTAAAAATCACCTTTTTTTAATAACACTTCTGTATTATGGAGGTGGGTTTTATTGTCTATTGGACTTTTATTGGGTTAAATTGTTTAAGATTTAACGTATTTAATTTATTTTTTTTGAAGACATGGCTTGAAAATTGCCATTAGCCTGTACTTGATCTCGGAGGTCTTTTCCAGCCTGAACAGTTCAGTGATTTTGACAGATTTTATTGGTTTTGTTTGTTTGGGGATGATATTTTTGGTACTGCTTTGATCCTCTAGTCACAGTTTCTTTTTTGACCCTGGGGTAGCTTTGAAACAGAAATTCCCACTGCATGGGAAACTGTTTCTTTAGCTTGTAGCGCTGAAGGAGGAAACTTCCCGTAGTGAAGGCTTTTCTCTGTCTCACAGTAACATCCTCTGTTCTCATCTGTATTTTCATTTCCTTTTTTGCCTCCCTGCCTTTTTTGCCTCCCTGCCTCCCTGTCTTCTTTTTCCTTTCCTCCTTTCCTTCTCTTCCTTTCCTCCTTTCCTTCTCCTCCTTTCCTCCTTTCCTTCTCCTCCTTTCCTCCTTTCCTTCTTTCATATTGTACTTTTCCTTCTCCTCCTTTCCTCCTTTCCTTCTCCTCCTTTCCTCCTTTCCTTCTCCTCCTTTCCTCCTTTCCTTCTCCTCCTTTCCTCCTTTCCTTCTTTCATATTGTACTATTGTTAGGCATTTCAGCAAAATTTAAAATACCAGGTAGGGAAATGAAGGACGAGTTGCTGGTATCTGGTATCTGGTATGGAAGAGAGCTTCAACAATTATTGGGGGGTGAGGGGAAGGAAAGGACTTGACAGAATGTCAAAGGGCTTGGTGCAGTGAGTGAGAGAGAAATACTTTGTTTTGAAGAGGGCTGGGAGATGCTTCTTATGAACCTAAATCACGTCACCAATTGGTTTAGTCACTCGTGTCGACCTTAGAGCAGAGCTCTTAATTTTATAAACGTTTTACCTAGGGGCCTGCTTACAAAATTTGCCGATGGGAGTGAAGATATTGAAGAGTGAGTTGGCCCTCCTTTCGTTTGCTCCGTGCAGCTCTGGCTAAAGCAGGCAGCCTTTGGCAAAACCTCGCTCCTTAAAACGCAGCTTCGCCCCTCCTAAATCAGCGAGGACTCCTTGCGCTCGAAGGTCTAACACGTGCTCGACTCTGATGGCCGGGAGAATGTCCGCAAAGCAACGCTTCCTTCCCTCGCTCTGCTCCCTGGGGTTACCTCAGCGTGCACGTGGAAGTGCCTGATACTTTAAAGCAAATTTTGTCTTGATTAATCCATCGATGGTGAGCCAGGTCGTGCAGATATTCCTGCAGGGCGCTGGTGGGGTGCGTGCAGCTCCTCTGGTGCCCGAATATTTGTCTGGTCCGGAGCAAAAGCTGCCAACCTCTCCATACTAGTCCCCAAATGTGTATTTATTTGCCAATTTCAAACACCCTTCAGCACAGAGTGCTCAGTAACATTGGCATTTATGGAAGAAGGTCAGAAAACAACACTTCTAACAAGCTTAACGTGCTTTTTCCCCAGTCCTGGACTTCTAGTTTAACCCTGTTAGTGCAAAGCTGTGAGCCTCCTTTTCTGTGCATCTAGCTTGTCTTGTTTACAGTCCGTGTACTCAAATAATTCTGTTTAAATTGTTGGTTTAACTAAGATGAATACTGCACCTTTTTGTTTTAGATCGACACTAAAACGAGCAGGGCCACCTCCGCTACCTCCTAAGGTAAGAGAGATGGTGGGTGTTAAGAATTTTGGCCCCAGACCCCACTTGTGCAGCCTCTGCAACGCTTCCGTCTGATGCTCTCAGCGAGTTATTAATTCTGTTAAATACCCTTTAGTAGCAGGCTTGGTGTGGCTTCATATTTTATGCTGACTTGCAGCTTGTGCGGTTTTGACCTCTGGGGACTCCTGGCCTTGAGCACTGCCCTCGACAAAATGACTTGTCGGTATTTTCCCTCTAAGTAGAGCGTGCTGCGTGGGATGTCCTCTTGTTCAGCATTCTGCCTGCTGCTGTGATTTCTTTATTCCATCAGAGAAGGAGTATCTGCTGTCAAATGCCTTTTTTTCAAAGGCTATTTTTTTTAATTTATTTTTTATAGTCTGACTTGAATTAAACCTGAAGTTTATGCTTAGAGATACCATGTTCCCCAGGTAATCTTTCACGGCTTTGGTTTGTTGCAGCCGAGAATCAACAGTTACCCTGAGGAAAACCACCCGGATGATGAGAAATGTCAGACGATAAAGCATTTCCCCGACTCGCAGAGCAGAGCCCCACCAGCTCACAGGAGACAAAGTATCCCTGTTTACGGGCCTCAGACCGATCCTTCCCCCGTTGGTATGACCAGCAGCATCAGCAGCCCTGGATTGCTCACAGCTAGATACAGCGACGTAGGTAAAAGCATTACGTTTGTGAAAGGTGACTTGTTTCCTGTAAGAGGAAATCAGTTCTAGAGTCAGCTATTTCCAGTAGGTGTTTTATTTTCTTTTCATGCAAGCTGGTTGCCACGTGGCTTTTTCCTTTTTCACGTGCGTGATGGTTGGTATTCAGCTACCTGAGGTGTGTTATGTGGAGGTTTCGGAGCTCGCTTCTCCACTCCTGCTAGATGCAGGAGAGAAGAGAGAATAGGACAACACGATATTTTCTATTTCACCCCAGCAAGTGAGCTAAAAAATGTGTCCGGGCTTCTTTTTCAGGAAGTGGGAATGGCGTGCTGAAACTCATAGAAGAAAATGCAGAAGGGTCCGGACAAATCCCTCAACTGCCACGTAAAAAGGAGAAAAGAGATTTTCCTGTAAGTCTTATGACGCTTGCTCTTGATTTCCCTGTCGTGTTAGCTAGCTAACTTGATAGCGGTGCGTGGGAGGTATTTTATGACCTTTTTTCTTCCCACAGAAGCCAGCAATCAATGGTTTACCACCGACACCGAAGGTGCTGGTAAGAAATCTCCTTTGCAGTAGGAGTTATTGGAAGCCTGCTGTCTTGGCATCTCTGGAGTGTCAGAAGGTTTATGTTGGAATAAGCCATCAGCTCATCTGGGGTTATTTTCTTCATCTTGTAGCCAGTTACTCTGTGTGTACTGAATCCACACTATTTGTTAACCTTTTTCTTAAAAACTTCCTTTCCCCATTCCATCTGGATGTGAAGGGTTGGAGACTTCACTGGCTCTGTGAGTCGTGATCTCCAGTGGCAGCCCCTGCTCAGTAAAGAGGAAGGGGGAGAGGTGGTAGTGATGTGAGGGGTTGTTATTACTTCAACATTTCTGCTTGTTTTCCCTTCATATGCCATTTATGTAAGCACTCAATATTGGTTCTACTCAGTAGGTACTTAAAATTGTTCTTATTTTGATCCCTAGTTATGTTTATGAAAGCACTCGATATTGTTTTTGCTCGGTAGGTGCTTAAAATTGTTCATATTCTGATCCCTTGTTGTGTTTGTTAATGTATACGAAGTTGACCAAAAGGTTCTGGAAGCTTTTGGGGAAGATAAAAGTGTTTTGCATCAAGGCATGTTAGAGTAAGTTTGTGTCCAGGAAGAAAAAAAAAAAAGAGCAGCAGCCTCCGAAGTGGCCAAGTGCCAGAAGATGAGCACTTCAGGCTATAAACTTGTTTCAGGTTGCAGGTTTGGTGTTTTTCAGATGGGAGCGTGTTTTTCCAAAGTCTTCGATGGTTGTCCTTTGAAGATTAATTGTGCAACATCGTGGATACATCCGGATACTAAAGGTAAAGTTAATTTAGGTTCATATTATAAAACCTGCCTGTTGGCAAAGTGGTAACGAGCTTGCAAAATAACTAATTTCTCTTGAATTTTTAGATCAGTACATTATCTTTGGCACAGAAGAAGGTATCTATACATTGAATTTGAACGAACTTCATGAAGCAACAATGGAACAGGTGATTTTTTTGGTGTCTTTGAACACACAGAACAGATTTAGGGATACTGTGAAGCAAGAAAGGTTGACATTGGAAGGGGCAGATGGGATACCAGGCTGTAATGTGAAACAGTTTATGCCACAAAGGCAGCAATGGCAGTCCAAAAATTAATAGTCCTGTTCCCCACCTGAATTCTTTATTGCTGCTTCCATAAGGCTGTTTTCAAAGGAGTTCTTTGCTAACATCTTTCTTCCCCTTGGAGACAAACCTGCCCTTTCTCTCTCCATTTTATCTCCACTAGATGGCACATTGCTTCTCAGCTGGATGCTACCAAAGCCCTCAGCCATTTAATTTATTATTTTTTTAAATTTAGCTGACATTATTAGCACCGATAAATACACATTTGCTTCTGGTTTCTTGGGCTCTCTAACCCTTTCCAAAGCCACTTCATGCACTTGTGATATCCCCAAGTAGTTTTTTTCAGAATCAGGAGTAGCGGGGAAGCGCTGGCAGATGCCGATGATGAGATTTTTACCTGTAGGTTTCTAACGGAGTTCATGAAGGCACTTCAGGCCTCTGAAGCGTGTTAAATTCAGCTGAGACACGGATCAGAAAGCAGAGAGGTTGCGGGGTGTGAGTGTGTATGAATAATAGAGAAAGACTATTTCACAAGAGCGCTGCACAGAGAAAGAAAAAGGGAAAGGGGAAGTGGCTCAGCCAGGTCGTGGCGTGGGGTAGTTTGGCCCAGACAAAAGTGAGTCGAGCTTACAAATTCTCATCTGGGTGGTGAGAACTGGGAATTTGAATTCAATACAGTTAGAAGATCCTTCCAAGCTAAGAGAGGTGAGGATGTGCTGAATGCAGTAGGACAGCGCTAAATACGAAGTCACTGATCTTTTTGTAGCCTCACTAGGGGTGGGGTACAGCTACTTACTTTCATAATAAATGTCTAAAAATTTAGGTGGCAGCTGTTGGAGACCCCCTGGCCTTCTTACCTCAGTTTTCTCATTTCTCAGTTAGTCAGAGCAATCACTCTCCTGTACATTTTCCTCAATTATTTCATGTAACAGTCTTCTCTAGACTCTTCCACATGCATTTCAAATCCTACTGAAGGGGTAGATACACCTGAGGTAGGTTGAGTGAACACCCGTGCACCCCAAAATGAAAGTTCCCTTTTCTGTGAGAGCGTTCTCAGTTGGCAGAGGTCAGCTGCGATCCACGTCAAAACTCACAGGCTTTCCTGCAGTGCTTCTGCCGCGCTCTTTGTTTTCTTATTTGCTTTTATTCATTCCTTGATTTCTCCCCACCAAATGCACGTTTCAAACTGTTTCTCCAACTTCTGATTCTGATCACGTCTTGACATCACAGTGCTTGCTGTGTCTCCAAGGCCAGTATCTCACAAATTCAAAGCGTGCTTTTATTCCATTGTTAGTTTTTCAGTGAAAATACTGAAAAGAACCAGACCCAGAGAAGACACAAGGGATCTACATTCTACTTTCCCTTTCTGTCAAAGAGCAAATTGCTGAGAGACACTCTGTTTTTATGTCCAACCAGTTGTATGTTTTCTTTCTGCAATTTCTTCTACCCCATGTTTTCTTATTTTGCACGTGGAAATGACGTGCAGGACAAGGTCCTTCACTTAATATTTCCCACCTTACTGTTTCCTTGCCCTGGGCAGGGCGTTTGTTCTGTTCAAGGAGGAAATTCAGGTGTTCAGATACAGCCTGCTCCTCACAAGTCCCCGCTAGCTGCTCTTGTTATCCCCTGGTAATTAAAATTATGTGGCTTGTTGCTGTGTTACTCTGGTTATCCACTCAGGCTATTTTGCAATTCCCACTGCCCTTTGCATTCAGCGTGGGCACCGCGTTTGTCCTTCTTGAGCTCCTTGTTCATCCTCCCTCTGTTCTGGAAGGTTTTCATTATGGAGACCTTGGGGCTTGAGCCAATTCTGAAGTACCATAAAGTAAACTTTACGGGGCCCTGCTGACATGAGCGTATCTAGTTGAAATAGTGTGTCGGGTTATTTTTCTGCTTCTCCCTCAAGTTTCTACCCCTGTGCTATCAACTGATAAATCACCAAGTCTTTCTTTCCTGTTGATCAGGGGGCCTAGCCTTTTGTTTTCCAAATTACCGTGTTTATCGACTTCTCTTATATTGGTAATTTCATCTGCAGCTTTACTTTTTCTGTGTTTCTCCCTTCAGGCTTATCTTGGGATCGGCTCTTTGTCCTTTGCGTTGCATCCTCATTTCTGTTTTCTGCGTCACGTGTTTGTAGTGCTTAAGGCTGGGGGGGAAATAAGAAATATTTACCCATCTTGGATACGGTTCTTAGGGAACAACTATTCCTCTTCTCTTCTTGTGGAGCTGTTAAATGAAGCCAGAGTGGGTAACCGGCTTGGGACTTTCTGCTACGGGGAGCTGTGGGTGCTGAGAGTTACCTGAATTCAGAGGGGAGACTGGACAAATTCAGGGAGGATCCATCCCTTGAAGCTCACTAAAGGCATAAAGCCCATATCCGATTCAGCAGGTTGCAGCATTATATACTTTTTTTTTCCCCATGTTTTCCGTATTTTCACCAGGAGAAATTACATGACTTTATGGTGTTTGTTGGAGACAGGCATTAGGTTAGATGGATGCTCGCATGAACCAGTACAGTCACTCTTTTTGGAAGCCTCAATTCAGGTATCTTCTGCCTTGTTTTGCAACAGCTTCCCTTAGTGGTCCGGTCTGCTCTTGTCTTCTTTTTTTTTTTTTATAGTCTCCATTAGGAATAGCTTAATCCTTTGAACTCATTTTTTCCTTCTTGGAAGTTTTTTTTCTTGAGGGAGGACCTTACCTATGAATATTATACTTAATCTTGTCTGTTTTTTAACCTGTCCTTTGTAACTCTGTCCTTTTTATTGTCCTTATCCCTTCCTTTGTTGAGACTCCTTAAGGCTGTCATTTGCCAGCACTTTGATCAAAATTCCCTTCAGCTTGTCGAGAGGTTCTTCTTAACTTTCAAACCCTCTCAAATCTAGACTAGATGCCCCATGAATAACTTTTTTCCCTCTGAAAAAAAAAAAACTAAGTCCCAAGACTATCCATAAGCTGCTGACAAAGCAACACACTAGCACAAACAGCCAGGCAGGGAAGTCCTGTAAAATACAGGATTTTATGGTAATTCAGGTTACTCAGAAAATACAGCTGCCTTTTTCCCCTTTCTTCTGATTTCTATGGAGTTTAGTAGGTTTCTTATAATAATGGTAACTTTCTTTCTCTGGCTGTCATTGCTGAGCAAGCTGTAGCTTTCCCTATGTGGTATTCCAGTCTTGTCCCACTTTAGGTCTGTGCTGCTAATTAAAAATTAAAGAAAAAATGGATTTACAAAGTTTCAGGGATAGAAGAGGGAAGAAATGAAAACTATTTCAGGCAGAGAAAAGGGCTAAGCAAGAGTCCAAAAGAGTGAGTTAAAGGGGAAACTGGATGCAGCTGAGATTTTCTCCAGTGTCGATTTCTCCAGGACTGGTGGCGAAGGTGGAGCAAGCAGAGGAAACCGTGGTTGGAAATTCCTTTATGTTTCTATTAATGGAAGTACTTTGTTTCTTCAGTTATTTCCCCGAAAGTGCACCTGGCTGTATGTTATCAACAACACCTTAATGTCCTTGTCAGGTATGTATAAATAGAGGGGAGAATGAATAAAATCATAAAGAGAAACATTCAAAGTTATAATTTCAGAATGATGTGTTTCGATTTTACTAAAGCTGAACGCTATGCGTTATTTCTTGCGTTCGTGTAGGAAGTTTTGCTTCAAGAGTGTTTTAAAGTGAAAGACTTTCAGAGAAAACACTGGATGTTTACAAGTAGTAGAGCCATTTGTCTGCAGTGTCCAACCATGTTTTGGGTTTTTTAATTTATTTATTTATAGTTAGTTTGGGAAAAAAGCTTGGACTTTGTTCCCTGAGCTAAGAGAGTCAGAATGATCCTCTCCTGTTTTGTTCTAAAATCCTTAATATTATCAAAATGCAGCTGCAGTGTTTGATCACTCTCAGTATCTGGTAGCCTGGCAGCGTCTTTGGTATGAACCAGATTCAAAAAATAAATTCGCCCTAAAACAAAAACAGTTTTAGTCTGAAGGAGAATGAGGTGGCTGTGACATACCACTAATCCAGCAGATTGATTCTGGAAAGAGTAAATTTTTTTTTTTTTCATTAGTTGTCCTGGGATAGGACATTCGGGGTAGGAAACGGAGGCACCATGGCACGCAGACTGATTTTAAAGCTGTGACTTTAAAGATGCGAGGGTTGTGTAACACCACTTCTGCTGATGTATAGGTGCAGAAAATGTCTAATAGTTAATTGTCCTGATATAATTACAACCTTCTGAAAAGGTTTCCATAAAACTTAACTTCCAGAGCTGCTTTAGTGTTACCGTAATGAACTTTGGGTTGAATGTTGTGTCTTCTCTATACGCATTATTGTTGTTGTCTTGTTTTGTTTTTCTTCGTAACTGGACTTGAAATCTCTGACGCACGGGGTCCGTTTTTCTAGAAGGTAATTTTCTATACCTATATTTTTCTAAAATGTGCGGTTCTCTGCTGGAGGCATGAGCACCATGTCAGTTGTGCTTTTCTCGCTTACAGGGAAAACGTTCCAGCTCTACTCCCATAATTTAATAGCTTTGTTTGAACAAGCCAAGAAAACAGGATTAGCTGCTCATATTCAAACCCACAGGTTTCCTGACAAAATATTACCAAGGTACAAATCTTTCACTTAAAGACAGTTATTAACAAGTGAAAATTCCAATAAATATCATCTGTGCTGTTGAATTTGTGCCTTGAAAGGTTCTTTGACGTCTCATTGATGCCATTTTCCACAATTTTATTCCAGGAAGTTTGCCTTAACCACAAAGATCCCTGACACAAAAGGATGCCACAAATGCTGTATAGGTGAGCAGCAGTTTGGTTTTGCAATTTGTTTCCTGGCCTTTGTCATTGGGCACGGCGTGTCTTAGACTCGTTTCTTTTTAATGAACTTAAGGTTAGCTCATTGTTGAGAAAACAGTACGGCTGCACCGCTTCTTAATGCTGCGCCTAACAGGTGTGCAGCTTTCCTTCTGATCATCGCCGGGGTCTTCAGCTTCTTCAGTGGAGAAACATTTTTCATATCAGCTCTTAACCTCGAAATGCTGCCGTGCAGAGCAGGGGCTGGCGGGAAACCCTGGAGGCTGACAGGTGTCTCTTTGAGAGCTGCTCAAGCTCTTGGTGACCAAATCGATGTTTGAGATCACCGGCTTAAGGCTGTCGCCTGGCCAGTAGCCAACTGGCTACCGCAATGTGCAGCCCTGCCTGCGAGTGGAACGCCTGTCACAGAATCCCTGACTTGTCGTATGTTGACAGAGCCCCTTCCTGCTTTGTCGGTTTGACTCAAGGGCTTGACCTAAGGGCTTGACCTAAATCAATCTTTTTAGCAAGGCTAGCTTGAAAAGAATATTTTCCATGAAGAAAGGGCTGGACGTGAATAAAAATGTCAGCCTGGGGAGGAGTGAAGCCATCGCTCAAGTTCTAAGTGCAGAGAAAAGAGTTCAAGCCTGGGAAGTTGTGGATTTGTCTTTGGCTTTGCTCATTTTCAAAAAGGCTTGGGCTGTCTGCAGAATGCAGGTGCTCTGGAAAACTGTCCCTAGCACTGCATGAAATTGTACCTTTACGCTCTGCAAAGCGCTTAAGCAGAGTACCAAGTACCAAGCTGCAGGCTTGGATATCCGATTTGGCTCGTCTCAAGTGCCTGCAGTGGGCGTATTTACAAATGATTCGTGGAGTCACGCTGGTCTTGTGTGCAGCGGAGCTTAAAAAAAAATCCAGACCCTTTATTGCATTACTGCGTTAGCAGTCAAAGCTCCCAAGAAGTTATGAGCCGCCTTCACTGCTTGGGAATTTTTATTTTATTTTCTTTTAAATCACAACTTGACCCGGACCTGTCACTCCCGCTGCTCACAGAGCCCCGGGAAGAAGATGTTACAGCTTTTCAGGCTTCTCAGCATGTGGCCTTTTTGCTGGGACTCAAAGAATGCTGGAGTTTATTAATTTATAAGTATTATTGAATTTATCTGGAATGTAGCACCATCTTAATCACTGTGGATATTTGAATGGCAAGCCAGAAGGCAATTAGTGTGAAACTGATGCTATTTCTTAAATTATTTGCAAAGATAGCTGTAGGGGTTTTTTCAAGTGTGCATTCAGCTTCCAGGACTTAAAAAGGTTTATCTTCTGGATTTTTTTGTTTGTTTATTTTATGTAGTACGAAATCCATACACGGGACATAAGTACCTGTGTGGTGCGTTGCAGTCTGGAATTGTTCTGCTACAGTGGTATGAGCCAATGCAGAAATTCATGTTAATAAAGGTAAGTATTTAATTTTAGCTATGAATATTTAATCCTAATAGTTATACAGTTGTTGAAATAACCTTTTCGCAGTTTGTAATGGAAAGTCCATCCCAGTCTAGTCCCATTTGTGAGTTCTGAGCGCTTGAAGATCTGGCTTGACATATTTTGACTAAGAAAGTCTTGTGACTCGAGTCAGTCAAGCCTTGGATCAAACCCAGCACTGGCAATAACAGACCAGCACAGCTTGTGCTGTCATAAAATAACCCCTCTTAGTAGAGGTAAAAAATTCTTCCATGTCTTTTCTACTTTTCACATGCTCTTCTAGGCTGCTTTTTTCCAAGGTGTAAAGGAAACTACAAATGCCTTGTTATGTGGGTTTTTGTTTCTTTGTTTGTTTGTTTTCCCCAGCACTTTGATTTTCCCTTGCCGAGTCCTCTGAATGTGTTCGAAATGCTGGTGATCCCCGAGCAGGAGTACCCCATGGTGTGCGTAGCCATCAGCAAGGGCACCGAACCAAATCAGGTCGTTCAGTTTGAGACAATCAACTTGAACTCCGCTTCTTCGTGGTTTACAGAAATCGGTGCAGGTGAGCCTGTCGCTCTGCTGCCTGGGAACTGTTGCGTGTCCCTTCCTCGGGAATTGCTGGCCTTGGCAAAACGAGGCAGAGTCTGTGCCTAAAGCAGATTGAAGCTGATCCCAGGTTCTCCTTGTGATGACCTGCCAGCTTCTGCATAACCTTTCTGGAAAAACTTCAGCTTTAGGCACATCTTTTATTTTTATAAATTTCCTGAAGTAGTAATGCAGACCCTGCTGTGACTGCCTTCTCGTTTGTGGTTGCCTGCCTTTTTTTTTTTTTTTCCCCTGGGATCAGTCTTTTACTCCTCTTTCCCCTTCTTTCCTATGTAAAGACTCACATAACTGCATTCTTGTCTGTCCTCCAGCCCCTGGGGGAGGCTTGTCATCTTCAGCTGGCTGTTAATAAGTAGAAGATTTTGTTTTATCTTCACAAGCTGGCTGATATCTTGCAGATGCTGTTCTCTGCTAGCTTTGTCAGCTATACTTTTTTACATTTAGAAACTGCTTTTTAGCAGCTGTACCAAGAACTTCATTAATGAAACCGAGAAAGACTATTAAATCTAGTTTAATATCAGCACGATAATCTTTCCAGGTGTGGATTTATAGGAAAAGAGCAATTTTTTAGGAGTGAAGTTTGTGCCTTTTCGTGAGGTTGACTTGCTGTGCTGAACTATAACACAAAATATATTTTATGCCAATAAACCGTAGTGCTTCCCTATGAAATACCTGCTTTCAACTGATGGGTTTGTCCTTAGGCCCTGTACTCCTCCCAGGACATTCTGGGACTCCTTAAAAAACACTGAAAAGAGTAACGAATACTGTAGATGGCAAAAGACTTGTAACATATTGAAAAGGCCGCAGCAATTGGTGAGAGGTTGAGGGGAGGAGGGTGTGCTGTTATAAAATACTCTCTTTTCTTTTTCCCAAGGCAATCAGCAGCTGGATGCCATTCACGTAACACAGCTGGAAAGAGACACGGTCCTGGTCTGCCTGGACAGTAAGTAACGCGTCTCTGTCGGGCAACTTAACTACACCTGGTGCAAAACATGTTTTGCCACCGTTGTTGATTTTAACTCTGCCACGAGTTAATTTTTCTCCATTCGTTACTAATTTGTGTTGTAATATTTCCGAAAAGATACAGTTCAGGTAAGCGGGTTTCGTTTTGGCTGTTGCGATTCCACTTTCCCTCTCTGTGCGTGTATCGGTCTTGTTTCCTTTCAAAATGAAGTGTAAGGCAGCGTTACCGATCAGAATTCAAATATATTTAATCAGAAATCTTCAAACATGATTTGGAAAAGTGACATTTACCCGTTGCATGTGCTTGCAGGACACGTAGCTGGTGTTCCATCACACGTGGGAATTGTGACCATAACTCTCAGGCGCTGGAGGTTAATACCTCCAGGGGAACTTTGCAATGACTCAGTCTGCCTAAATTTCCAACCTTTACGTTGAATTTGCATTTCTGCGCTGTTTGTTATTTGTGGGAAGGCTGACAGTTGACTCTAAAGCCATACAAAGTGTGTAAGAAGGCGATTTTATATTTATTTTGAGAGAAGGATGCTCCTGGATTCATTTTAGGCAGATAATTGAGATGTTAGGTTTGAGCATTTCTTTGTGCCGTCAATAATCCGTTTCAGCGGTGGATTTTAATACTCATTTTTCTGTTTGGTTTTTTTTTCTTTTTGAGAATTTGTGAAGATTGTCAATTTACAAGGGAAATTGAAGTCGAGCAAGAAATTAGCCTCCGAGCTGAGCTTTGATTTCTGCATTGAGTCAGTGGGTGAGTGATTTTCTTCTCTATTGTTTCCCAAGGACTTAAGAACTGAGAGAAATGAGTGTTGAAGGGTTTTTAATAATCTAGACTGGTGCAGTGCACCCAGTAGGCCCAGCACCAAACACGGCGTGTGTCGGGATGATGGGAGCTGCCTCTTTGTCTCCACTGACACGCTGAAGAAAATGAAGCGGTTGCCAGATAGTGTGTCCTGTCTGCGCTTGTTTCCATCTGGTGTAAGTTCTGTTTTGTGAGTAAGATTCATGATTTGGTTGGGTGGAAAAAAAAAATAGAAAGCTGATTAGTTTTGGATTGTTTCCATAGCACTGAGACAAGCTTTTGAGAAGGAAAAAGTGTTTCAGTAATACATAAATCTGTGTTAGTATTTTTTAACAGTATTTGAATCTAATTTTTAGAGGACAGGCCGCTGTCCTTAGACTACTAAGTAGAGTTCTAAAACCCGAATTGCGATTGTCATGCAAGTATTTCTGCAGTAATAAGCTCCCAGAAGTATCTAATGAACATAAGTTTAATAACTCCATATCTCAGAAACCAAACTTCCTTCTAGGATCTAAATCAATGAAGACACAACCTGCTTTCGTTAGCAGTTCTGTGCAGCTTGGGTTTCTGGGTTCTTCAGGCAGCTTCCCTTTAGAAGGAGATTCTCGACATAGGAATTCTGTATTTTAACAGCAGCTGGTAAAGCTCTGCACGTTCTTTTGTACGGCATCTCTGTTTAGATACGTCAGACCTGTCCGGAGAGAAGACATCTTTAATCAAGCCTGTGATTCTTCCCCAAATTCTGGCACATTCTAATTAGCGCACCATACAAGCACAAGCTGTCTCTTGCTGACACCTGCGTAACGTGACTCATCTGTTGCCTTTTCCTTGAACTCTGAAGGAACCCACAGACAGAAGCATCTATGCTGAAGTCTCACGCTTTACCATCGCTTAAAGAACACCAGGCTCTTTGTCCAGTATTTTGTGCAGTCTAGTAATTAAATCATTCGGAGCTGGGAGATTTCTGTGTTCTCTCTTTGGCCCTGAATGGAAGACTCTTCCCAGTTTTCATACGTCTCTTGAAGTAAAGATAATAACTCAAATGATCTGTAATTTCCAGCAACTCACAGTGTTTTGGTTGGCAGCATGTTTATATGTTTCCTGGTGTTTTCCCGTGACTCATGGGGAGAACAAAGATCCAGAGAACAGCAATGAAAGGGAAAAAAAAAGTCAGAGATGCCTGTCTTGTCCTGGCACCCAGGGAATGTCTGAGCGCTACGTTTTGAATTGCACTTTGGAAAGTAACGTGCATCTCAGATCCAAACAGTCATTTCAGTCTGGTTTTGCAGTGATTTTGGAGTTTGATCCTTCTACCAGGAGTCCTAGTCTTCACCACATACTTTCTCCACACGCTTCCCATTAGCGCTGCTGGCAGAAACTCGGCTTTCTCTCGCTCAGTTAAGCCCCGCTCGGGTCTGACTTTGTGTTTCTCCTTTGCAGTGTGCCTTCAAGACAGCGTGCTGGCCTTCTGGAAACACGGCATGCAGGGCAAAAGCTTCAAGTCAGACGAAGTAAGTAATTTCCCAGGTTGTAATTTTGTCCCGTTCCTTATTTACTACTCCATCCTTTGGCCCCTCCCGCTGCTTCCCCAGCAATAACGCTTGTACACCGCGGTGTCAGTGCTTCAGCCTGCTCGCTCCTTGCTCCGACTCGTCTGCCCGTGTTGCTCTTGGTAAAGCTCCTGCGTGTGCTTTACCCAGCTCTGCTCCCGACATCATCGGCCAGAGATGCCTGAACTGGTTCTGCCCAGAGCCAGCACGGATCTGGTGTAAGCAGCAACTGGGTTTCTTGGAGGAAAGCTCGAGTTGACAGTGTGCCTTTTTATTAAAAAAATTTTAAAAGACATTCCCTTCTTTATTTTTTTTTGAAGTATCCCTTTAAAAAAAGTGTCTTTTTTTCAAAAAAACACATTATCCTTTTTGCTGACATCCTCTGGAAAATGCAGGAAAGCTGCTCAGTCTCTGCTGAGAGAGATTTGCTCAGCGTACTCCATCAGTTCCACCAAGTCATCTAAACTGATAACAGTCTACAATACAAAAATTATTTAAGATGCATTGTATTTTATGAAATTTAAAATTCTTTTTGGCTTAGCGTCAATTTATCTGATTCAGTCCTGTAGTGCGCACTGAATTGCATTTGAATTTTTTAAGAGACTGATTTTTTTTTTTTTCTTTTTGTCCTTTGAGCTCAGACCAATAAATTTGATTTTGCCACTGAAACGGACCTAAATGTCTCCATTTTTCTACAGGTTACCCAAGAAATATCAGATGAAACCAGGGTTTTCCGCTTACTGGGATCAGACAGGTAATCACCTTGAAGAAACATAAGCCTTTTATTTTGTTTAAACCAGCTCTCTAACTTCCAGCTGGAACCAGCTTCCAGCCTTGTCACAAATCTGTAGGCAGTCCCGAGGGAGGCAGGAACAGTTTCTGCCTGCAATAGTCAAGAATTTAATTAGTGATTGCATCTGCATCCAGAATTATTACTAAGAGCCCCTGGAACCTCCTCCACTTTCCGCTGCAGAAAGAGAAGTGTGAAACACAAGCACAAGCGTACAGAGACGCGGCATGAGGAGATAAGCGACAGCGAGAGACGAGAGCTGCTGGTGGTGAGCAGGGTGCCCAGCGCGCTGCTGCAAAAGCTGCTGCTGGCTTGGAATTTCCTGGTGAATGATCTTGGCAGCGAGTTACTGAAAAATAATCTTTGCTGTGGACCTTGAGGTTGGGAAAGAGCAAAGCAAACTAGCTCGCCTGCAGGTTTTAATGCACGGCCATGTAAGTTCATCTGTATAACATCCAGGTGATTCCTTTCAGCTGCAGAGAAGACTCCAGGGAGACCCTATAACTACCTTCCAATACCTGAAGGGAACCTACAGGAAGGCTGGGGAGGGACTTTTTACAAGAGTGTCCACTGATAGGACAAGGGGAAATGGGTTTAAGTTAAAGGAGAATAGATTTAGATTGGACCTTAGGAAGAAATTCTTCAGTCCGAGGGTGCCAAGACTCTGGACTAGATTGCCCAGAGAAGTTGTGGCTGCGCCCTCCCTGGAGATGTTCAAGGCCAGGTTGGATGAGGCCTTGAGCAACCGGGGCTAGTTCAGGGCATCCCTGCCCATGGCAGGGTTGGATTAAATGATCTCTGAGGTGCCTTCCAGCCTAAGACATTCTACAAGTCTATACAGAGGCTGGGAGGAGATGCGGCTGCCTTTGTGCTTGAACTCAGTCTCTAGAGCTGCCCCAGTCTCTAGATTTGGACACGAGTACTCCTGCTTTCTCACTTAGCCTGAGCACTAAATGTAAAAGTAAATAATAGTGAGTCAGGAAATCAGTTCTGATCCCTGATCTTCTGCTTCCTCGTCTGGCCTCTGGGAAGCCCGGCTCTGACTCGCACTCTGTAAGTAATCCATAGTTTTGAGTACTTAAATTCCTGGATTCCCGGTCGAGGAAGAGAGCGAGAGCACACTAGCTCTTTCGAAGAGGAGGGGTTGCCTGTACAAGAGACAGCCGAAGTCTTTGCTTTGGACTGAGTCACCAAGGATTGACCGTACTCGATCGCTGCGTTGGAATTAAGGATCCTCACCACTGCTGACTTGGAGATCTCAAGACTAAGGAGTGCCACCTCTGACACTGTGGGCTCTGCCTTTTCTGTCCCAAACAGGCACTGGTCATTGCCCTAGCAGAGCAGGGGGCATTTTATTGCAAGAACAAGCTTTTGCTAAGGTCCCCTGTGGTCCAGATACCACATGTGTTAGCCCAGGTATGTGCTGTGCCGCCGTCAGTGAATCATTCTCACATACCGGAGCCGATACCTCTATGTGGCTCCTATTTCTGTGTTGGGCTGGTGAACACAGGAGCATCCTAAACACACAGGGGGTGGGAAGCAGCGTCTCACTCTCACCGGATTCATCTCCTACTTTTATGGAAGACATGCACATCTGAGTGACAACTTAGTACAGAGCACTTTTGAGCATTGGAAATAAGGTTGAAGTCCTGCTGCACGTGATTTTGTAGAGAAGCCATTTTTTTCTCATTGAACTGCTAAATCCTTTGTTTCATGTTTTTCCATCTCGGGACAAATGGAGCAGGAGTCTTTCCTACTGTTCAGATGAATGAGATGTGGTAGCTCCTTTTTGGCTTGGGTCATGTTAGAACTGCTGAGTTGCAGAAGTGAAGATCAGGGACAGAGGCTAAGGGTGAGAGTTCTTTTGAAAAGTCTTTGAGGAACGTGACATGTCCAGTGCTTAAAGGGGGCTACAGGAGAGATGGGGAGGGACTGTTGATCAGGGAGAGTAGTGTTACGACAAGAAGTAATACTTTCAAACTGAAAGAGTAGATTTAAAGAAGAAATCCTTCATTGTGAGAGTGGTGAGGCACTGGCACAGGTTGTCCAGAGAAGCTGTGGCAGCCCCTCCCTGGCAGTGTTCGAGGTCAGGCTGGACGGGACTTTGAGCAACCTGGGCTGGTGGGAGGTGTCCCTGCTCATGGCAGGGGCGTTGGAACGAGGTGATCTTGAAGATCCCTCCCAACTCGGATTCAGCGCTCAGCGTGTCAGGACAGGAGAGATCAGTTTGCCAGAGGAGCCTGAGGAACACGATCCAGCAGTACGAAGGTTGAGGTAGGGTTGAGTGTTCACCATGAAATATTTAGAAGGGAAGAATTATAGAATGGGTTGGGTCAGAAGGGACCTTAAAAATTGTCTGGTTCCAGTAGTTCCAAGCCCCCTGCCGTGGGCATGAGGAGTGGCTGATGCTTTATTGCAAGGTGTAGGAGGTATAAACACCCTCAGGCTGCAGATGGTAGGAGGGTTGTGTCTCCTTGTAACACTCTGGCTCTTAGAGAACTCGCCAGCAGAAGCAGAGGACAGAGCTTATGTCAAGGTGGAGGATGTCTGGCTGGAAGAGGTTTGGAACATACCACGTGTCCCTGGGGGCAAGGGGGGCAGATTCTGATTGGAGAAGCCTCTTCTAGTCCTCTGCTCCTTCTGTATTCTGCTTCAGTGCTTTTATCGGAACTAATGCTGGAAGGTGAAAACCGATTTAAAGAATCAGATAGCCGAGGTATTTCAGAGACTTTGTATCCCTCCCGTGTGTAGAAACACATGAACAAGAAGTTTGTTCCTCCTCGGTAGTCACTTCGTATTTTGCCCCTAACCAGTTTGGGTTCTTTTTGTGCTCTGTTGCAGGGTGGTAGTGCTGGAAAGCCGGCCGACAGAGAACCCGACTGCACACAGCAACCTCTACATCCTGGCTGGACACGAAAATAGTTACTGAGCAGCAAGAACCTGACGCAAGTAACCGAGTGAATTTGCCGCACGAGGAGCGAAGCAGCGTTAGGAATCGCAGTACAAGCGGGACTGCGACTTGCTGTTCCTTTTCCTGACACCGGAGTGATGTTGGTCTAGGGTGGAAATCAATACACCTTTTTGCAGCTGGGAACAGCTGGTTCTGTCTCTTTGCCACTGTGTGGTTGGTTATATCGAGTTTGCTTAATAAAAGCTACGAGGTAAATAGCCCTTTACTCAGTAGTTCTAGGGAAGCAGAGCCTTTAAAAAAGCGTTGTGCAGTAAAGGTGCCATAAACTGTTAAATATTTTACGTCCCTTGGATCTTCCTTATATTCTGTAGATAGAGATGTAGTGCTGGCCGTTTCCCTGTTTTATACTGAGTCTTATTCTTAATTAAAAAAAAAAAAAATTGTGTAGGAAGTTGAAAGTATCAGCAAAGCTTTTTGGTTTTAATTCTGCCATTCCGTATGGCTTTGTATAATAGACTATTTAATCCTTATTTATTAATCTGCTGCTAGAATGGTGTAATGTATCTAACTTTTAGCAAAGGAAGGTTGCAGAGCAGCTTACAGGTTTGTTTTGGGGTTTTTTTTACACTTGTATAAAGATTTGATTATTCTTTTTTTTCTCGTAGGGATATAGTGCATTACTGAGGGGTATGTTACAATGTCAGTTGATCTTGTAAAAAAAAATGCGGTTTTGTACAACAAAGTATTTTGTATTGATTTTCTGCCTGCAGAATTGCCATAAAAGGGATTTTCTTATTTACTAGACGTAGGATGTGTGTACACAAAATATAATATTGATATCAGACATGTTGCTACTGGGTGAGTGTGGACAATATACGTGTGTGTGTGTGCATGTACGCATGTGTGTTAAGTTGACCGGCAGTGTGTAATTTTTTTATATATATATATATTTA